AGTAGCTGGGATTCCAGGTGTGCACCACCTCATCTGAGTACATGAACATTCTTGAACCAGAAGTTTGGGGCTTTTCCTCTGGAACCTTTTAGAAGCAGCTGAGCAGGCTGGCTGAGAACTCTTGTGCTATTTATGAAGGGTACTTTGTGTGGGTCTCCATCCTGTGATCCTTTCTCCCTGGGCTGTGGTTTCCATGAGATGAGCTGGTCGACAGCCACACCTCCAAGGAGAAGGCCAGAGGCCCCCCTTTTTTTTAAAAAAAAATCTCTCAAAGTCTGTTGCCACAGAAACACAAAAGCTTTTCTTTCTTCTCAAGTACCCAAACCGTATTTTTAAAGGAAGATAAGAAAACAAAAAAAAGAATCTGAGAAACAAATCTAGTTCACCTCAGAGATGCCGAGATGCTCACGTAACGGTCTGAGAGTACCGGATCTCTTTCCTGCCTTTCATGTGGTTCTGTCAACAGGGCTGCCAACATGGAACCCATCTCCTTGAAGAAGTCAACTATCTTCAAGAGGTGCCTTCTTGTTGGTGTCTGTTTCCACTTAGAATCGGGGGTGGAGAAAGGGTCCTCATGAACTATAAGCAAATTTAAGGTCCAGGACCATCCAAGTAAACATTTTTGCAGAATCCACGCCTTCTGGAAAAATCCTTCACACCTGCCTATCTTACCCAGATTGTGTACAGGGTAGTGGTGCCCACAGGGACATTTCTCCCAAAGTCAGTCTCAGCAATTTAGGGAGGAGGCACTTAGCAACTCAGCCAGACACTATCTCTAATAAAATATTTTAAAAAGGGCTGGGGATGTGGCTCAGTGGTTAAGCACCCCTGGGTTCAATCCTCAGTACACACACACACACACACATACAAAAAGGAGCTCCATGTTTGAAGAAATGGCTTAAAGGGGGACCCTGTAAAGCTCACTGGCAAGTGTCTCTCTTTTCTTCCACTGAGTTAATCAGATTTGCTAAGCCAGCAATTTTGCTAATCTCCTAAAAAAGTTCTCCCTTTCAAGATGAACATCTGGGGACATTCCCTTTTAGTTGATTTGTTTAGGGTTTTATATCAACCATCCTAGCACAGATAGAACTATTTCAAAACATGGAAATTAAGGACAGCAGCAAGTCACACACTGTCTACTGTTGAGCCACCTCAATGTGCTTCACATGACCTTGACAAAGGATCTTGTAGCACCCAAGGATTTGGATTTTTGCAATAAAGATGCCTCATTATAATAGACATTAAAGTCACTCACTAAAGCAGTGAATTGGAACAGGGTGGTTGAATGTATAACTAAGATCATGGATAAATGTCACTTTAATATTTTTTCAAGACACAAACATGTTCTTGCATGGTTTAGTTTAACTGAATCCTGTCAAAAGACAGTGCTGACATCAAGTCCCATTCGGTCTCATGGCACCATGAACAACTTTTGAGTTTTTCATTAATGAAAGTAGAAAATGTCTTAGAGTCAGGATCTTAATTATTAGATGGCAACCTCTAATAAACCCACAAACCCCACAACCATTTAATCCCAAAGCTAGATTTTCCCCTTGAATACACTATGAAAAAGTATTTGTTAAACCGACAGTCACTGTTTTGGCCGGGGCCTGATTCTCTTGTGATGGATGACTGCGATAATGTCTCCCTCCCCCACCCATAACTAGTTCCTTTTTCTTCTGCCTCTTTTTTTACCCCAGTCTATTCCACTGAGTTTTATCTTTGAAATTCAAAACTGATGGCTACTCCTCCATCTAAAACGCTATTAGAACCTATCACCTACAGGGTAATATACAGCAAGTCCTTGATGTATCTGCTTTCCCCCTGCCTGGAGTCTCTTTTGACAGCATGGTTAATTTTTTTATTCTTCAATACCCATTTTTGTCTCTTTTGTGTTCTCTGATCCCTTGAGATGATGTTTTCCCTTCCCTCCTCTTTGTTGCCTGGAACGTGTTTCTATTTTGCAATTATCATACAATATAACCTAGGATAATTATTTGTTTAGAGAACTACCTCCTTCCTTAAAGATAAGGATCGTGTCTTTTAATCTTTGTGTGCTCAGCACCTTGCACAATGTTGGGACATACTAAAACCTCAAGAAAAGTTTTGTTAAACTAAACACAGTGTTTTAAAAATGAGTACTATTCCTTTGCAGACACAATTTAGTGTACCAATAAAACCGTTTTCAGTAATGTAGGCAACTTGGTGTGATGGGAAGAGCATATGGCAAACCAGCTGTGTGACCTGGTTTGGATGTGGTGTGCTGCGATGCCCTGTCTCTGGGGGATGGGGGGTGGGGAGGATAACTACTTGTTTTATGGGTTGAATTGTGTTACCCTCACATTCATATGTTGTAATCCTTAGAATGTGACTTTCTTTGGAGACAAGGTCTTTACAGAGATAATCAAGTTAAAAAGATAAGTCCATTAAGGTGATGTTGTGGGTTCGATTGTGCTTCTCACCCCACCCATCTCATATGTGGAAGCAGTAATTCTGAACAGTAATTCAGAATGTGACTGTATTTGAGGATAAGGTTTTTACAGAGGTGATTAGGTTTCAATGAGGTCATTAGTGTGGGCTCTGGTCTAATTTGACTAGAGTCCTTTTGAGAGGAAATCTGAATACGCAGAGACACCAGGATGCACAGGCACAAAGGAAAGACCATGTGTGAACAGGGTGAGAAGGCGACCTTCTGCAAGCCAAGACCAGAGGCCTCAGAAGAATCACACCTGCCTACACCATGATCTTGAACTTCTAGCCTCCAGAACCATGAGACAATAAATTTCAATATTTTCAACCATCCAATTTGTGGCCCTTTGCTTTGGCAGCCCCAGCAAACCAAGACACTTTGGCAACCCTTTATTAATAACCCTTTATTAATAGTTCTTGTGGACACACTGAATCATAGACTATCACCTCTGGATGGAACCTCACCAGTTCACCATTTTGTTTGTTTGTTTTTTCAATATTAGGGATTGAACCCAGGGGCTCTCTAACACTGAGCTACATCCTCAGCCTTTTCTTTTCTTTTTTTTTTTTTTTATTCTGAGACAGGGTCTTGCAAAGTTGTCCAGGCTAGACTTTAACTTGAGACCCCCAGTAGCTTGGATTACAGGTGGTGCTACCATGTCTGGCCAACTTGGTTAAATCATTGTTAAACCACAGTGAGAAGCATGAAAAGAGTTCTCCCCCATTTTGGGGAGGGTGGGGTGTTTTGTCTTTCATTAGACTATTATAACCAGAGAGGCCTATGCTGGGGTAATGGCTACTTCTCCCTCACAACCAAAAATACCTTTTAATTATGGCATATATGGCATTTTAAGTGCATTCTCTCTTCCACTAATAACTGTGAGGACTCCAGGATCAGACCACCCCGGTCCTTCATTTTTGTGTGTGATCTCACTTAACCTTTTAAGTTTTGGTCTGTGAAGTGAACATAGTTATACTACCTATATTATCTGATTGCTGTAAAAATAGTAAGCAGTTAAGACCGGTTAGTAGTTATTATTTATAGATGAAGAAGTCTAAGGGAGGTTGAATGATTTACCCTTGTAAGCAGGAAGGACAGCATCAGATGGGGGCCCTCTGGAAACATGCCCTACAAAGTTCCCACTATGCAACTCTGTGCTTAGTCCTGCAAGTGTGTTCTGAATGACCGTAATAAGGGAGAGAGATCTGGGCTGGGAGAATAGCCTCTGAATATGATTTGTATGCAAACAGTCAGACACATCTAACAGGTGGACAGATGATTGACACCTGTCATGAAATGGCTGGGAGAGGCAACGTTCACTGTACTGGGTTCACCAAAGAACTCTCAGGTGCATACCAGACAGCAGCAATTCTTTCCCCAGTAATTCATCTAAGAATGCTCGAGGGGAGTCTCTGTTGTAGGAAGTGCTATGTTGAGGGCATAAGTAACTAGATTTCCCTTTTCCCCATCACTGGTCATCTGGGAAAGACCTCTGCATAGACAGCAAGTCTATTGTGGGCAGGTGTCTCCTTAGAATGACTCTTGTTTCCCCCCAGTGAATGCAGAGGAGAGAATGTCAGGGGTAAGCTATGCCTCACAGAGCAGTACTCTGTTCCTTCTGTCCCTGAATCTGCCTGAGGCAGGGATGCAGAATCTTTAGTGGAAAGTGACAAGAGTTCTATCCTGCTCCTAAGGGGTTAGGTACACTTAATCAGTTCTTTCTTCCAACAGAACGATGGTAATTCTTTTTCTCTACAAAAAGATCCATCAAAAGATCTAGGTTTAGGTGCTAACTCCACTATCTACAGGTTGAAGAAACTTGAGGTGGGTACTTAAATGCTATGATCTTCAAGCACCCATCTGCCCAGGTTATTGTAAGGGCCTAAGAAGATTAATCAGATGAAAGTGTTTTGCCAATAATATAATGCTATGCAATTTACTGATAGTTCCCAAATTTCACATTCCAGACCTTAGTTAGTCCCACTTTTTTTCTGATTCCCATGGCCTTCTAACCTGCTGTGAGAGTCTTCATTCTTTCCATAAAATGAGGCCTTCTAATGTATACTGTGTTTCATTATTTGAGCAAATGTTTCATATCTGATCTTGACAATGCATTGCTAAAGAATAGAGATCATGTATCTATTCCCACTTTTCTATAGCATAGGTGATCAATAAACACTTATTGATGGTGTAGAACTGTCCCATCATTAGTAGGACATGGGCTTGGGATTTGGACCTGCCCCCTTACATTCCCTAAACCATCCTTGTAGGTTGAACCCAGGACAGGAGGCAGAGAGAAAGGATTTCACATGGGAGACCGGGGTTCTGTGTCTGGCTTCATCTTTTCTCATTGGTTTCCTCAACTGTGGTAATAATGTCACCCTGGTTAACATGGCAGCATGTTCACTGAATGCACAGCGGAGAATTTGCAAGCTATAAAGAAAATATAAAGTCCTGTTGTAACTGGCCCAGTTAGGGACTGAGCCCACATTCATTAATGTGGCACCCTGGCTGCCACCAGCATACTCACCCGAGGACTTGAAACCGCACCTATGCCCTGGACTGAAGGCCTGGGAGCTGTTGCTGACGGGGTTGCTTGCAGTGCAGAGGTAGACATTGTCAGCATGCTGCGGACCAAGGGTAAGGTACAGGAGGTGGGAGCTGTTGGCTGAGCTCAGCAGGTGGGTGCCCTCCTCACTCCAGGTGTAAGTCACGTGGTCCCCCTTCTCCACTGTGCAGGAGAGTATCAAGCTGCATGTCCCATTGTCTTTCTCTTGAGTTGAGTTTAACACTTTAATTTCTGGAGTGGAGACCTGCTCTGTCAGGTGGAGGAGGAAGAAGGGAGCCATCACTGAAATGAAATCCTTGGAATTCTCTCTTGACATTTTTGTTAAAACAAAGTATAGCTAAATGACATGTTTCTCACCCTCTCTGATGGGACTTCAGTATGATTTATCTCTCGTGGCAATGATTATTTTGTATTATCTCTCTTGAGATAGAGTGGAGAAGAATGTGTGTGGGCAATACTGTTAGGCCTTCACTTGCCCTTCCTGGCTGGTGTTCTCTCTCTCTCTCTCTCTCTCTCTCTCTCTCTCTCTCTCTCTCTCTCTTTTCTTGGGGATTGAACCCAGAGGTTTACCACTGAGCTACATCCCCAGTCCTTTTTATTCATTTATTTTTTTGAGACAGAGTCTTGCTTAGTTGCTGATGCTGGCCTTGAAATTGCAATCCTCCTGCCTCAGCCTCCTGAGTCACCATGCCCAGCTCTTCCTGATGTTCTTGGTCTAGAATGTTCTCCTGTATCAGGGAGTTTACCATCAACTAATCACTCATGGGTTTTAATTTAAGTATGACCTCCTAGACATAAAAGCACTAGTGTTTAGTGGTAGGATTTCATCTTCTGAGGTGGCCAGAGGTGGGAGGACAAGTGTTTCTGTGTGTCTTAAGGTAGGGATAGGTTCTCAATCACAGCTGTAGTCTCCATCAATCTATCCCACACTATTGCCATGAAGAAACAGGCAAGGCCAAAGGGAAAGTCTTATTTATTTGTAACTACTATAAGACAAGGATAGTTCTATGGTTTCACATCCATCATCCTCTTTAATCTTCTCAACAATTCTAACTCAATGGCCAGGCATGGTAGTACATACCCTTAATTCCAGTAACTTGGGAGGCTGAGGCAGATGGATTGAAAGTTTGAGGCCAGTCTTAGCAACTTAACAAAACCTTGTCTCAAAAAAGACTGAGGATGTAGCTCAGTGGAACAACCCCAAGGTTTAATCTCCAGGATGGTGAAAGAAAAAAAAATATATAAATAAGTATATGTGCATATATACACATATATAACCTGAGTTACAATTATTTCAATTTTATAGATGAGAAGACTGAGCCCCAGAGAAATGAGATGTCTTACATAATATTGCACAGCTTCCGGGAGACCAAGCTAAGCTAAGGTCTTATCTCCAAAGTCCAGCCTCTTTCTTTGACTTGAGAAGAAGACCAGGGGTACAGAGACCACATTTTCCTACGTAAGAATTTGATCACAAAATGGGCCAAAGGCAGTAAACATAGAGGAACAAAAAGACAGTATAGGTGACATGTACATTGTTTTGACGCATTATGCGTGGCCTCCATGCTCACAGGAACCTTGCTCCAGAGTCACTCTTGGAGTGGCCAGGACTCCTGGGTACCTGGTAGAGGGCTCTGGGAATTCTGTATGCCCTGTTTTCAGAAAAGGGAAAGAGGAGGTCCGGGTTTGGTTGGGGTCAGTGGTGAAGAGGGTACCTAGATACCCAGCATTTCTTTGAATGCTGGGTAAGTGGAGCTCCCTGTTCCATCTTCATAGATAAGGAAGTTACTTTGAAGAAGCAGGAAAGCCCCAGATGACTGTTGGGATTTTTGGGAATTCAGGTGAGCCTCTGGTTCTAAGCAATACAAACTTTGGGTGCATTCAAGAGGGTTGGTAGTTAAAGAGGCTAAAATAATCCCCGACCTTGGCTTTAGGTGAACCTAAGTTCTAGTTTAAATTCTGCAACTAAGTGACATTAGAACCAAAGCTTTCGTTTTAAAAGCAAAAAAAAAAAAAAAAAAAAAAAAAAGTGCTTCTTCCATTATGTAGGTGTGATCCAGGGCACAGGGCTTAGAGAGCAGAATGTGGTCGGCATTTCAGCTCTATCAAGAACCCACGCTGCAGTGAGCCACCTACACAGACGTGTGTAAGCATGTGCAAACCACTTCTCTGGTCAGGTTGGACCAGTGGCATTCAAACTTTTGAAAAATCAGGAAAAATTCTTTCTTTAAATAAAATCTTATTTGCAAACCCAGAGTCTTGGGGGTGCAACCCCTCCAGTCCACAGGCAGTGGGGCCCCTTTCCATTGGAAATGGGTCAAAGTGGCTAAGGCCAACCAGCAACACCAACATACAATTTGGAGAAAAAAAGTTGTCACTTCTAAAAGCACTTCCATGAAGCACAGTTTAAATACCCCTCGGACTGGATGATCTTTCCAGTTGCTCCCAATTCTGAATACCCTTCCTCAAATTCTTGGGCCGGGGACCATCTTCCCATCATTACCATAAAGCTCCAGCTGCACACAAAATTGCCGGACTGAGATGTTTTCCTCCAGGCTCATAAAGTACCATCCCTCGCTGTCATTCTTGCTGCCCAAGATCACCAGGCTCAGGTTTTCCAGGTGGAACTGATAGCCATCCTCCAGGTAACTTGGAGAGCCCTTTTCAGATGGATCAAGAGATACTATTTTCTTCTTGATGCTGCTTTCTGGTGACTCGGCCTTGGTGACAAGAATATGAATGCTTTTGTTCATGCTTTTATTTATCCGTTCACTTGTCAGGGGCAGCACCACGTCACTTCCCAACCGCCAGAGAATCTTTGGGCAGTTCATCACGCCCCCACCTGTGGAAGGGAGAAGAGAGTCCCTTAAGATGAGGGCTTTTGAGAACTGCATCATATTGTGGATCAGGAATGACAGGCTGAGGTTCTCCCCACTCCTCTCGAGCTATCCCTGGGGTTGCAAGGACTTTAGTGGTCTACAAAGACTGCCACGAGGAACCCCACTATCATATTAATATTTCAAAAATCTCAGTGGAAATTTTTTTTTGTAATGAGAATTGAACCCTGTGGCACTCTACCACTGACCTACATCCTCATCCCTTTTAATTTTTTTTTACAATTTTTATTTTGAGAGAGGGTCTCACTAAGTTGCTGAGAATGGCCTCAGTTGGGTGATTCTCCTGCCTCAGTCTCCCCAGTTGCTGGGATTACAGATGTGCACCACTGTGCCTGGCTCAATGGAAATCTTAAAATGACTTACAATAGAATTGTATTAACTAACAGTATCAATTTAGATTTTACAGTTAAGGTACTTAAACCAGAAATAAGGCAAATGACTTCCCTGAAGTCACATTAGTAAGGAACTAGAATCCAGGTCTGCTCGTTTCTCTACCAGAATTCTCAATGCCATTGGGTAGGTAGGATGAACAGTGGCAGCACTGAAAGTGGTTCTGAGCTCATGAACCCAAGAAACCAGAGTACAGAGGCATCAGGACAAGTGACAAGGAAGACCGAAAAAATCGGAGAGACTCAGAATTAGGGAGATGGTGAGTCCAGAGTCCAAACTGGAATCCTAGCTCTCCAAAAATCCCTGAGATAATTAATAAAGCTGAGGAGGGAGATATTATTTTATTCTCTTTTTCAAAAAAAGCTGAGCCAACAACAAAAGAAAACACACACAAAACCAAAAACCTTTCAAACCACGGTAAGGGAGGGATTCTACTGCTGATTATTTAACACCTCCTCTCTGCTCAAACCCACAAACTGTCTTTCTCCCTCCTCTCTCACCTGATGACCTTGTTTTCTACTTTACTGGGCAAAAAGATGACCAAAAAAAAAAAAAAAAAGAACTTCCATTTATTAGCATCCCCAAATCAACCTTCCCACCTGGATGGATGATCTGCGTTCCTGGTGAGACTTACCCCCCAGAGCTCTCACTTATGTGAAGGCTTTCTCTCCTGGAAGTGCTGCACTGACTGCATTATCATTTGTCTCCTGAGTTATTTCCTCCCGTGGACAACAGGCAAACATGTAATTTCCCTCATCTTAAAACTTCCTTCTCTAATCCCAAGTCCAGACCCAACTATTTCCTCATTTCTCTCTTTTCCTTTATAAAAAGGTCCTTTTTGTGTGTTTACACCTTCCCTTCCCATTTTCCTGACCCATTTTTTTTTCCTTCTACCTGTTCCTACTACTCACTGGAACCACCTTTGTCGAGGTCACTGTCAACGGCAGGAAACCAAGTCAATTCTCCTTTATCTTCCCTTGGTTCTCAGGAGCACTTGAAAGAGTTCATGGCTCCTTCCTTGAAAATACTATCTTCTTTTGGTCCCTGAACCACCACTTTCTATGACTTCTCTTGTATTTCATTGGTTTACCATTCTCAATTTCCTTGGTGGGAATCTTCTGCTCATCCAGACTTCTAAGTATTGAAGTGTCCCAGGACTCAGACCTCAGACTTCTCTATCTACACTCATCCAGTTTCTCATTCAGCTCCCTAGTCTGGCATATTTCTGCAAGGCTTGCAGAGTTGCCCTTTCCAGCCCAGACCCTCTCTGTGCTCTTCACTACCTACACAGATCAGCACGTGGAGTCGGAAGGCAACTAAAACACAGCACACATCCTCCTGATTCCAAAGCTGCTTCTGCAAACACTGTTATTCACTCAATTTCTCAGACAAAACAATGGAATGATCTTTGATTCCTTTTTTTCTCTCCCACTCCACATTCAGTTGAATAGAAAATCCTATTGGCTCTAACTTCAGAAGAAGTCTGACATCTGAGGACTTCATACCTTCTCCATCCCTACCGCCATCATCACAGACTAGGTACTGCTATTATCTTCCAACTCCTCTCCATAATGGACAACAGGTCCATTTCATCTCTTTCTCCTTTTTTCAAACTTCAGAGCTTTCTAGCACTCATAGAATGAAGTTCACAGTCCTTGACTGACACAGCTTCAAAGACTCTGCATACCTGGTCCCTGGTACTGCTCTATTTCCATTTCCTGCCCCCTGTCTCATTCTCACGACACTATGGCTCATATGTTCCTTAAACTTGCCAAGAATATGTCTTTTGTTGTTTCTCTCTGAAAATCTCTCCCATGTGCGCCTGGATAGTTCATTTCCTCACTTTATTTTAGAATGTTTATTTGTTTTGGTACTCAGGGTCATTTTACCACTGAGCTATATCCCCAGCCCAATTTATTTTATTTTTTGAGATATGGTCACTAAGTTCTCAGGTTAACTTCAAGCTTGGAATCTTCCTGTCTCAGCCTCCTGAATTAATGGGATGATAAGAATACACCACAACACACTTGGCTCTCTTAAGTTCTTACTAAAAAAATTATCTCCTGTGACTATGTATCAAAAAACAGCCCTCTCATTGCTCTTATCACTACTTGATGTTATATGTTTATTTTGTCTCCCCCACTTAAATGTAGTTCCCTCCAGAGGAAGAACTTAGGGCCACTATTTTGGCCCTATGATCTACACAGTGCCAGGCACACAGTAGGTTTTTAATAAATATCTGTTTGATTTATGAATGTTTAAAACCACACTGCCTGACTAATCTCTTAATTAGCTTCACCTAACATGTATGTAACTGAATTTAACTAGAGGCTAGTGTTCATAAAAGAAGCCCGTGACTCAGAGAGAGCACAGATTGCTGTATTTGATAAAATTAAACTGTCTGCTTCAGTAATGTGTCTACCTAGAAGAGACCCCTCCATAACCGGCTGTGGTTAAGATGAGCTGTTGGAAAATTGGGCAAACTGATCAAAATATTCTTGGTACCAAAATGCTCTGAAATTGTCACACTGTCTAGCAAAGGGCCCACCTAATATCACTAGAGATCAGTGATTGTGAAAAAAAGAAATGGCGGGCCACCTGGGCTAAAACCAGAATTAGCGTGGTTTAGATGCATAATTGTTAATGAGAGGCAATTAGACATTTGTTCTTTTACATATTGCTAATATATTCATCCTTGAAACAGTGCTCACCCCTTTGCTGGATTAGATGAAGAAGGTTATTGTTAGGTTCTTGTTTTTATGGATACATTGGGAAGCATGCGGCTACACTTAGGAATGTCTGACTGTCCAGAAAATGTGTCCTTTCTGGTGGTCACACACCTCACTTGTAGAATAGTACCAGAGAGAGAGAGTCCTCTCTTGAGTTCTGATACTTGAGAGTAATCCATGCAAGTACGGACCCCCTGAATTTGTGTACAAAAAGTTGCACAGATAAATATATGTACATTTTTCCAAGAGTACTTCTATATATATGCTGTGTCTCAAAGGTATCTGAGATTTTAAAAAATTAAAATCCCTGTTGATTTTTAATAACTTCTGTGAGTGCCTTATAAGTACACCTAGTAGAATAATGTATAATTCTAGTATATAAAAGAATAATGTATAGTATATAGTGGAATTTATTGTCACATATTTGTCCATACATAATATGTTTTGGTCGATTTCATACTGTTTATCTCTTTAGATCAATTGCGATATGGAGCAAAAGGGAATAAGAGTTATTGTTAGTCTAAAACCATCACCCTTCATCCCCCCAAATGTCTCCAATGCACCCCTTCCTCCCATCTAACCCCGTGGACTCTGGATGAGGGAAGGGAGAAAGAAAAGGGCAGGTGCAGATGACAGGACAGGCTGGGTGGCTTACATACATGGGAATGGAATCAAAACTTGGCCAGGAAGAGACCTCAACACCTCACCACCCACGTAAAGAGCGATGACATAACTCCTGCACCTGTGAGTGGCCAGGTCCGGAGGGGGTGCTTGAGATCATCCCCACCCAAGCACAAGTGGAAAAATGAGTGGAGCTTTAAAGTGGTTCCTAAAGCCCTTCAAGTGGCGTCCCTGCTCCTGGAACATCCTCTTGCCTGATGAGTGAGTGTTTTCCAGTGGGTCTGTGATTCAGTCAGCCCCTGTTTACTGCAAGGGTCGGGAGGAAACATTTGCAGTTGTTTACACCAACTCACTTTCCTTCATGGGTAATTCTACTGCAGAAGTACGGTGATTCACATGGACCCATGAAGACTGGCCTGAATGGAATCTGTAGGATTCAGCAACCCTTTCACAAGATGGGATTCTACCTGATGATAACTCGGGGGGGGGGGGGGAGGAGGGAGGGCTGGCCCTGATACCTCACATGTTCTTTGAACACCTTTCTATAGCATTTGGTGGTAGTGGGGGTTGGGTAGAGAAGAAACAGGACCCACTGGCCCTCCCAGTTCTTATGTCAAGTTTAGGCCTAGAAAGAAAAGATGAATTATCTAAGGTTGCTCTTTAAACAAGTATTAGTAGAATTCTATTCCTGATCCCTGATGAAAGAGGTTTTTTGTTTGTTTGTTTTTGGTACAGAGCATTGATCCCAGGGGTACTTTACTACTGAGTCATATTCCCAGACCTTTTTATTTTTTATTCTGAGACAGGCTCTCACTAAATTGTCCAGGTAGAGCTTGAATTTAGAATCCTCCTGCCTCAGGCTCCTGAGTTGGGATGTCATTCTTACTCAATGATAAGCTTCTAAGAGTAGGGGCTGTGTCTGTTTAACCCCCACCTTGGACACATCAGAAGCTCAGGGAATCCTTACTGCCCAGGTAAATCAATAAAATGGAACAGAATGAATGATTGAACAAATGGGAAGATGGACTCCAAGTTCTCCTCTCTTCACAATCAGGGTGCTTTATCTCTGTAACACCCTTAACAGATATTGTATAGGGGAAATGATGGAGACCCTTGTCCCCACTTGCCAGGTGAAGAGGTGGCACGTGTCTTAGCTGTGAATCCTAGGTTTCAGGTAGAGCAGGTGACTTGCCATTTCCCCAAGCAACCAAATCCTTTAATTTCACATTTGCACCTCCATCTAGAATTATCTTTTTCAAGTTCCATAAAAATCCAACCTACCAGACCCAGATATTTGAAAAACAACAACAACAACAACAACAACAAAATCACACACAAGAAACTGGTAACAATGGTTGTCCCCAGCCAGAGGAATGGAAGGGAGGTTAGTCCACTCTTTTCCCTTTTGTATTGTTGAAATTTTATAGATGCATATGCAACACCCTTCCAAAAAATTAGGGCACAAAAAACGTTTAATGAAAATTTGCACAATAAAAAAAAATTTCTATCCACTGTCCAAATTTCAGATCCAATACTTTCTCCATGCTGCCTAATTTTATCATGGGACCCTGGATACAAATTTTAGCTTTCTTCCCACTCCCCAAACATAGGCTTATGACCCAATTTCACTCATTGAGACCTTGAGTTAGGCTATATTAACACAGAGAAATTGTTCAACTACCCTGTGACTCTCTTTCCTCATTTATGAAGTTGTAATGATGACAATAGTAATAGAAACCTCATAGGTTGATGTAAGAATTAAATAAATGACTGATACACAAAGCACTTAGAATGTGCCCAGTATTTAGCAAATATACAATAAAACTGTGATTCATTCAACACACGTCTACAGACAGGCTCTGACATACCAGACACTGTGGCAGGGGCTAAGAAGAGGCTATGGCTGTTCCTTTTGCCTCCCTACACCTTGAACTGTGCCTATAATATCTTGTGTTCTTAATAGATTGTTGCTGAATGGAATCATCCAAAATCAATTTACAGATAAAACCAAATAGCCCCAATGTTCTGATTTCTAGTCCAAGAGACAGCGAAGGGGAAGAAATCATGCAGTATTGAAGTTTTTGAGAACTAGAAGTGCCTCTATCAACATCCTGAGGTAGATTGGGCCAATGAACAATCAAGTGGGGATAAATTCTAGACAGGCTCTTGTCCCTCACCTCTCACCTCATGTATATGAAGAGAGTAGGGAGGCCCTGAATGGAGAAATAAAAAAATCTCATTGGGGTAGGTTCATCAATCATAACAAATGTACCACCCTAGTGAGGGATGTTGGCTATGCATACATGGGGGCAGGGGGACATGAGAACCCTATAACTTCCACTCAACTTTGCTAAAACTTCTCTAAAAAACAAATCAACCATTTCACCAGAACTTCAACTTTTTTTTTTTATTTTTAAAAGAATCTTATGGGGGAAATGGAAAATTCACTTTGTTGAGGGAAGGGAACATGTGGACTTTTTCAATTTTTATGATTCTGACTGGGAATTGGAAATGGAGCTGAATAGAAGTGGGGAGGGGAGTGGGTACTGATTTTAGAAGAATCAAGCTTCTTGGTTGAGTAAATCTGTTCATGACTGACCTGTCCCATTTGCACACCATTTCCTTCTGGGTTTTATTGGGGCTTCACAAAAGGGTGTGAATTTAAAAATAAAAACACCCCAAAATTTTTTGAACAGATTTCTGAAAATGGAATGCAAGGACGGAACACCCACCCCTTGGGGAATGACTCCCCCGTGACCTCCAAAGCCTTAAGTGGAGCAGCTGACCTGAGCAAGACTGATCAGGAATCAAGCAAAACAAAGACATCAAAATCCATCCCACAATTTAGCTCCATTACTCCCTACAGTCACCAAAAAGTATGCTAAAAATTGGTGGGGTTCCAAATGGGGTGCAAGAAGAAAGGCTTGTCTCTCTTGCGGACCACTTTCCTCTCCTCTCATCAGGAAAGAAGAGCCATGAGCCTGCTGATTCTTAGGGATGGTGGGAAAACAGCTGAGAAAGGGCTTTTTTATCTGAGAGCCTGACAAGTGATAGATCCCATGCATGGCACCCCCACATCCCTGGCATATCTTGGGGCTTTTCCTGGAAAAGTCCATAATGGATTTGCGGTCTTGAAAACCCCAAGCTGAAACACCCTCGGCCTCAGGATTTCCCCCCTTCCCGAATGCCAACTCCACTCCAGGCTGCCTCCCACAGTGTAACCAAAGTCCCAAGGCACGTAGGCAGAGGGAGCCTCTCACCCCATTTACACAGATCGACATCCACTCCTGGCCTTTCTCTTTCTCAAATATCTTTTTGCATAGCCCTGGTTCTACTAAACAGAAAACAATAGCTTGTCTTGGCAGTAAGAGAACCAGAAAGGCTGGAGAAGAGCCCAGCTTCAAAAATTCTGCTGCCCAGCCCTACCCTACTGCAGAGACTCCTTTGATGTCAACCCTGAGGTTCCTGGTTTGTATTTCCCACATTCCGTAAACAGCTTTGAGCTCTAGAAATCCTGACTTCTTCCCCTCTTGCCACCTTGGAGCCTTCTCTTCCAAGAAGTAGCCACCAGTATGACCACACTGTGGTCACTATCTGTTCCCAGCCAAAGGCTTGGGATTTTCACTTCTCCTCTCTTTTCCCGCTATACACCTTATTTTTCATTGGACCCTATTTTGATTTGTCTGCTCATGCCTGTGAGGGTCCCTTTGCAGGATGGGGATGTAGGACAGATCTTCTCCCAGAACTTCATCTGTCTAACTCAGTCCTGCTAGCCTGGGTTGTTTCCAGAAAGACACCCAGACAAAATCAATCATTCCACCAGAACTTTGACCTGAGCCTCCTACCCCCAGAGGGTGATTAGGAATCCAACAGGTGCCTTTGACTTAGAGCTTCGGAGGAAACGAGGATTGGTGGCAACTGAGCCTTGGGACCCAAGAGCCAAGGAACTCATAATGTTCCTTCCTCTTAAAAAGAGGCAGTTGAAACCCAGAGCCAATCCCTAAGGAAAAGGCAGCTAAACCACAGTCCTCACTGAGCCCCTGTATCTTCTCTCCATCCATAAGGTTATGCTAGTCCCCGGCAGATAATCACAGGACCCAAACCCCCAGACAGACCAGCACTCACCTGTTGCATAGCTCAGCTCAAAAGCCAGGGACAGAATTAGCAGGAGGCTCAAGGACAGGAGCCCCTTGGTATCCATCAGCTAGGGGGGGACAAAGGAAGGGGGCCTGGCCGGGAGCCCGGCAGTTGCTCAAGATGCCAGGGCAGAAACAGGCTCCGCGTCCGACAGTGCTGCTCTGCTCTCTAGTTTACGCATCAGGAACCAGGCAACTTCCTGTCTCACTGGGACTTTTTTCTGCCTGTTTCTCGAGGATTGCTCATCTCTGTGCAGGCTTTATATCACTGTGCCGTTCGTAAGAAGCACGTACAAGTCAGGCACTTTGATTACTGGAGCCGGGAAAGAGATTGTGAAGTCACTTTGGCCAAACCCTGGTTTGGGGTTGAAATGTGCTCCCCTCTCTTTTTTTTTTCCCTTCGCTGTTTCCAGGAAATGAGTGTCACAGCCTCTCTGAGCAGCTCTGGTAAACTCTTCTTAGAGTACCCTAGCCCTGAGTAATTTTGCCAGAATACCCCACAGATTTGATAGTTCAAACCTGAACTTACGTGACTGAACTTTGACGAGGTGATGTTTTCCTCCGTGATTTGGGGGAATACCTAAACTTGCAGTGGGGTCCTGGGACCTCAGTCACAGAGAGCGAGGGTGGATCACTGGCAGAAAGCAGATTTCCCTGTGGGCACAGCGTGGTGGAACTGAGCAAGCCTCATGCTGGTGGGCTTTGAGGAGGTTTTTCCCTTTTGAGGAGAAAGGGATGGAATCGGCAGAAGAAAGACCAGCCATCAGAATGGAACACTGAAAAGTACTATTGTGGGTGTTCACAAAGAGACTCTGAAAGCAGAGTCCATATTAACAGGCCACAGGCATATTTCTATTGGCTTGCCCAGGGTAGCAGGGTAGTCGGAGCTGTGGAAGGAGGTGAATTGGCTCTTTTTCTTTCATTTCTGCCACTCCTCCTTCCCTAGTACCCAACTATAATGTGTTGGACCTGGTACAAACCAACTCATGAGAGACAGTTGTTAAATATTCAAGAATCTTGTGAGCTGGTTGACAAACATGGCCATTATTAAATTATACACACTTATGAAAACAAACTTCAGGCCAGGGATGTGATTCAGTGGTAAGAGGGCTTGTCTAGCATGCACAGGTTTTGATACCCAGTATCTTACACACACACACACACACACACACACACACATATATATATACACACACACGAATTTCATAAATGTACAATTAAATTATATTTATTTAAATATACTTAAAACAGAGAATCAAACCTCAAAAATTCATTACTTCCTAATCATTGTTCTCTATGCTCTTGATATCATTGATGCCCCTTGAACTCTGTATGATGGAAATAAAGCACTAGATCGTGGTCGCTATTGCACCTCTCTTACCAACTCCGCATTAAATGACATCATAATCAGCCATGAAGGAAATTAATATCATGGAAATTGACAAGCACTGTAAATCGGGGCTTTAATTTAGTGTTTTGTTGGTTGTCTCGAGATACGAAAGCAAAAGGGAAAACATCATGATGCCGATTAACCTTATAAGTGTGGCCCATTACATTGTGAAGTGAACGGCATTTTAAAAATGAAGGAAATATTTTTCCAGTGTTCAAAAACTTCCATCTGATGCAGCAAAAAGTCACTAGCATCACTGATGAGGAAGTGATGCCCCCACCTATGTCTTTGTTGCTTCACGTTTCTTTAATTTATAGGACATTGGCCAACATTCACGTTGAAACTGCATTCATCAGTTGTAACCACAGGTTGGTCATGGATACTAGTTTAGCCCATAGAAATACAGGAACTCTGTGAGGATCAGTTGGCTATATGGAATTTACAATAGAGGATGTTGTACATTTTAATAAAATATAACAAATCGTATTTTGTAAATTGTGGATTATGTATCCTTCATATACGTAAATGTGTGTGTATATATGTGCAGACATTATTTTTCAGAGAGCTGGTTATTAACTCTTTACCAGCACACTACTATCACAACTGAGAATACAAGTGATGGAGTGAGTGGCATACTCTCCGTATATTTATAAAATATCAGCTGGAATACAACTAAATAATATGGGATCTCATTCTCCTACATATTATCTCATAAAACTTTGATAAAAAACATACAACCACTCAATTGAGACAGAGTGACCCCCTATGATGTTAATACACATATATTTTGGCTTTTTAAAAGACACATATATGGGCTGGGGATGTGGCCCAAGCGGTAGTGCGCTCGCCTGGCATGCGCAGGGCCCTGGGTTCGATCCTCAGCACCACATAAAAATAACAAAAATAAAGATGTTGTATCCACCGAAAACTAAAAAATAAAAAACTCTCTCTCTCTCTCTCTCTCTCTCTCTTAAAAAAAGACACATATATTTTGGCTTTTTAAAAGACCATTCAATGAGACAAGACCATGCTGTGGTCTTTCAAGATAATATGATCTAGCTAGGCATGGTGGTGCACACCTGTAATCCCAGCGGCTCGGGAGGTTGAGGCAGGAGGATCACAAGTTTGAGGTCAGCCTCGGCAACTTAGTGAGATCCTGTCTCAAAATAAAAAATAAAAAGTACTGGGAATGGAGCTCAGTGATAAAGCACCTCTGGATTCAGTCCCAGAAACCTTGCCTCCCTCAACACGCACACATACACACCCACAAATCATCTAATCCTTGAAACACTTTGGGTGGAGATCTTATTATTAATTCCATTTTATAAACAGTGATCAGGGTCTAACTCAAAGACTGATGTTGTCTCCTTGAATCACACAACTACTAGAATGCAGGCGCTAGTGTAAGAAAGGGTCAAGCCCCTTTCTTTCCAAAACGGGCACTTACATTCATGAGTATTTTGCCCTTCTTCTCATTTCTAGAATTAACCCTTCTGTAGCCTTACGATGTGGCCACTCCACCCCATTCCCCAGGATCCTCTTTGCAGACCCACATCGGGCTAGTTCTAGGCCTTAGTCTGAGGGATTTACCGTTCAGTGTGACCTAAAGCTAAGGAAGTTGGTACACTGAGGGAGGCCAGAGAAGTTTTTACTATAGGGACTGAGGCCCTGTAGTGAGTTAAACGGTCTCCCCTCTCAAATTCTTGTCCACCTGGAACCTTTGACTGGGAGCTTATTTGGAATGAGGGTCTTTCAGATGTAATTAAGGTAAGGATGGAGATGAGATCCTGTCAGTTGGTTAGGGTGGGGCCAAAATTCAGTGAGAGTGTTTTTAGAAGAGAGAGAAAAGGGACAGAGACACAAGAAGACCACATGTGGAGGCAGAGGCAGAGGCTGGGTCTGTAGCTACACTCCAAGGAACACCTCAGAACACCAGAGACTGGAAGAAGCAGAGAAGGATACTCCCCTAGAGTCTTTGGAGGCATCCTGGCCCTCCCGATGCCTTGCTTTGTACTTCTGGCCTACAGAACCGTGAGAGCATGAACTGCTGCTGTTAAGTTACCAAGACTGCAGTAATTTTATTTTTATAGCAGCTACAGGAAGCTAATATAGGACTAAGGTAAGGTGACTAACCCCAGGTGGGCAGTTAGTGCACTTACTATACCAAATACTTGTTTCCTTCAGCTAGACAAATCAACAACAGAAGAGTCACTGGTGAAAAGGCCTCGTATCTTAAGAAAGGCACTTTTCAGAAACCCTCACATTGTGGGCCCCATTTGGTCCTCACAGCAGCCCCAGGAAGCAGGCAGAGCTCGTGGTGTTGTAAGGTGTGGTACCAAAGTCGGGAATCCTGACTCTAGGTCAAGGACTCCTTTTCTTTGACTAAAATGAACTCGTTTTTTTTTTTCCCCCATGAACACTCAAGAGGGTACGGAGGAAGGATTTCCCACTGATTGAGCTCCCCAGTTAATTATCTGGAGTTTCCACATCTATTAGTTTGTTAATCTTCCTAGTAGTAATGAGTAGTCATAATTTTCACCTTTTTACAGATTGAGGCTGTTATAGAAGTTGTCCAATGCTCAGAGACAAGAAAGAAAGAAAAAGAAAAAAGGAGGAAGAGGAAGAGGAAGAGGAGGAAGAGGAGGAGGAGGAGGAGGAGGAGGAGGAGGAGGAGGAGGAGGAGGAGGAAGAAGGACTGGGTCCAAAACCTGGATTGTGTGACTCCAGTCTGTGCCCTATCTATTCACTATAGCATTTCCATTATATGAGCAAAAACCTCAGCCAACCTTAAAACTCATACTGGTCAACGGCCATTATCATTAGAACATTTCTTCGGGCACAACCAAGGCATGGGCAGCAGGAGACTCCTGGCTGAGCACCATGTGCCCTCCCTCCCTGGCCTCCATCATTCGTGACACAGCACCACCTCCTTCCCTTTGGTGACGCAGAGCCCACCCAAGATTGAGGACAGTCATATTTCCATGGAAAACTGCCTTCCCCAAACGTCCTCAGTTGGGCTTTGCAATGAGGTCATACCCTGCTCTTAAATGCAAGGGCTTAATGTCTCCCTAAGACTTGCTGCCACTCTCTCTTTCCCGACACTTTTGGCTAGGAGTGGCAGAGTGACCTTCCTGATGGTGTTTGGGGCCAGACTGATCCCAAACATATGGGTTTTCCAGCCAAAGCCTTGTCTTTGTCATCGCCTCTGACCAGGGGTCCCTGTGATAAAAGCCAGACAGACCTACAGGGTAGTCACTGAGGGGCAGGACGGACCACCTGGCCACATGGGTCTCATGATGAGCACATTTATCTGGATAAGTAAAGAAAAAAAAACCCATAAAAACAAAATGAAAATACAAAATTTCCCCAAACTCTAAACATCTCCTAGGTGATCTACTTGTAGAGTCTAAAACTGGCCTGGGGAAAGCACTGGGAAAAACACCCTGGGGTCTGTCCTGCTGGGCGAGATGAGGAAGCCCACGAGGGCAGATGTCTGACATGGGCGCTGAGCTGATCAGTGGACCAAACAGCCCTGTTGTGGGGCTGGGTCTGTGGGAGTTGAAGGGAAAGTGGGGGATGAAACTAGACCGGGTGGTTGTTCTAACCCAGTTCTCTTACCCTTGTGATTATGCTCACCAGACACCTTCCTGGGCAGAGGGACGTACTGAAAGGCCCAGGGCCAAGGAGGAGGGCCGGAAACACTAGCCCTTATCCATCCGTGGAGCTGAGTTTGCACACTGCAAGGCCCAACCAGGTTTCTTACGGCAGGAGCTCCTCCAGGGCTCAGATTCAGTTCAGAGCATTGAATTCTGGGGACTGAGGGATCCGTGGACATCGGTCATCTGAACACTTCCTGTCCAGGCTCCTTTCATTTTCACTGATGCTTCTGCCCTCCTTCCAGACCCCAGAGGCTCTATGTGGGGATTCTCCGCTCCTAGGTCCTGCCTGGAC